CCCCCTCAGCTGAGCCCCCCCTGCAGAGCTGCCCCCAGCCCTGGGGAACAGCAGCACAAGGACGTGGAGCTGCTGGAGACAGTCCAGAGGAGGCCCCGGAGATGCTGCCAGGGCTGGAGCCCCTCTGCTCTGGAGCCAGGCTGGGACAGCTGGGGGGGCTCACCTGGAGAAGGGAAGGATCCAGGGAGACCTGAGAGCCCCTTCCAAAGCCTGAAGAGGCTCCAGGAGAGCTGGAGAGGGAGTGGGGACAAGGAATGGAGGGACAGGACACAGGGAATGGTTTCCCATTGCCAGGGGGCAGGGACAGATGGGAGATTGGGAAGGAATTCTTGGCTGGGAGAGTGGGGACCCTGGCACAGGTTACCCATTTCATGATTCAGTAATCCAGGATAACAGGAACACAGTGGGTGATTTCCAATCAAGAACCCCAAGCAGTGCTCAGCTCTGGGCAGCTCCCAGATCTCTCCTGCCTTTCATGGAATTACAGAATCACTAAGGCTGCAATGACCTCCCTCTGCTGTCCATCTCTCACCGAGCAGCTTTTCGACCCAAACCAGGGAGCAGTTCCCCAGTTTCACTTTCACTCTCTGCTGCAGAGAAACGCCTGATTTACAGGAAATCAGCGACCGCGCTCCACAGCCCCTCTGCACAGGGAAGCAGCACCCACGGGAGAGCCAGGGCTGGCTCAGGAGAGGGGCTGCGCTGCGCTCCTTCCAGCCCGGCAGCTCCGCGCACGGAGGGAGGGACACGGTAGGACCTTGGGGCTGAGCTGCAGGACTGGGAGCGGGATCCGCACGGAGCGGGGGCTTCTTTGCCTTCTGCTCCCCGTGCCGGGGGGTTCCCGTGGGTGGGGAGATGCCAGGGAAGGAGCCCGTTCCCTTTGCAGCCCGTGCCCGGCTGGAAATGCCGATCCTGCCCGCCCCGGGCACCGCCAGCCCCAGGCGGGGTCCGGGGGGCTGCGCTGCCCTCAGGGCAGGAGCGGGGGGTGCTGGGGCCCTCCTGGGGCTGGGGCCGGGCCGGGGCTGCTGCCCGTGCCCCGTGCCGCTCCTCGGGGAGCAGGGCAGCTCCGGGGGCATCGGGGGCACTCCTGGCACCTCCTGCTCCGGCCCCAGGCCGGGGGGGACACTTTGTGCTTTTCCTCCTGGGATTCCTCTCTCTTACAGTGGAAACTTCACCGCCCACGGCGCTCTGGCCCCTGTCCCCTCACGGGCACAAGCGCTTCCAGAGCCAAATTCCCTGGGGAAGGGAGAAAAGTTAGGAGGGGACAGAGCTGGGACGAGTGGCCTGAGGGCACAATATCCAGCAGTGCCCTGAG